GGGATGTACATTTTCCTGATTCTGCTTTTATTATTACTATTTCTTTATGTATAGTTCCTCCCTTTGCAACGTTGTCATGCTTCATCAATGTTGGTTTTCTCTGGATGTGCCCCAGAAGGGGTCTTGTGTAGAGCAGGCACCCAATCCATGTTTCCTGGCTGGTTGATGCAGGACCTTCCTCACCTGCCACCAGGCGCCCTCTCTCCTGCCTCACCCCATGCCACTCTCCCCTGGGCCCGGGTGCCGACCCTACTGGCCTTCCTCCAGTTTCTTCAGTTTTGCGAGTTACTTCTCGCAAGTGGAGTGATATGGGCGGGGGAGGGGGGCACTCCAGAAATCAAAGGCCATCCCTGCCTGATTTAGTCCTGTCTTTCCTTCGGCTTTGAGTTGCATCGTCTCTAATTCAGTGACCTTTCCCAACTCCCCACCGCACCTTCCAAAGTTCTAAATGAGGTCTTCTCTGAACCAGATTAAGTGCATTATGGGGCATTATGGGACACCCGTTCAATAGGATACTAGATGGTCGTTTAAAAGAATAAGATCTATCAGTATATTGATAAGGAAAGAAAGCAAGTTGCAGAAGAGTACATGTATAAAGTGATCCCCTTTGCAGACATCCTCTAAAGGACATAAGTGCTGCAGTATGCATGCATTCTTTTCAGTAAATATATACGAGAAATTGTTAATAGCACCTCTAGGGAGACAGACTGGGGCTCATAGAAGAAGAGGAAATTTTTCACTTTAAGCTTTTCTGTAGCATTTGAATTACGACCACATACGATATTTTACCTTTAAGAATATAAGACGATTAGTTGTTTCAGCCCTCTTGTTTTCCAGTGCTCCGTGAAGACAAGGACTGTGTTTTCTTTTCTGTTGTTCCTGGCACCCTGTACATTGCACCTTCAGGTAGTAGACACTCCATCAGCACTCCTTGAATGAATGGATGGGTGAGTGAACGAACCAGCAAGCAAATGCAGTTTCTCCACCGTGTGGCTAACCGGGTGACACACAGGGCCGACAAGCAGGTTGAGCCAGCAGGAGAGATGGCTAACAGAAGAGGCAGGGAGCAAGCACAAAGAGCAAAGAAAACCTGTGGAGTTGAAGGGGTCGGAGCTGGGAAAGAGAGAAGCACATGATGGCGAGCTGGTGGGGGGGCGGCAATGCCTGGGTGAGGAGGCACTGCCTGCCTATGGAGCAGCGATGGAGGAGGAGGGCACCACTCCCGTGGCACTGGAGGCATCAGAACCCTCCTGCCCTGCTCCCCTTTCCTGAGACCGTTCAAGGTGCTCAGTCACCTCCAAGGGGCCGGTTTGGTGAGCCGGGCGCAGCGGGGATGAGGCCCCAGGGCTCCGGCGCTCATGCGTTCTTTCCTTCTGTTCCATGTGGCCTTGCTGTAGGGAAGTAGTGAGTGCGGGTGTAGGCTGACGGAGAAACTTAGCTGATTTGTGGTGATTGGAATCAAGAGAAGTAGCCAGAACCGAGAATGATGAGTCTCAGGCAGAGTAACAGCTGTCCAGGCTCATCCTGCTGCAAAGAAAGCATAGGTGGGTGAGGATGAGCTCACGGGTTACGGTCGGACAGAGCTGGAAGCCTGGTACTGTCCGTTATTGATGAGCTCAGCTCATGAAGCTGCTTCCTCTTGCTGAGCCTCACTGTTCTTGCCTGCAAAATGGGCGAGAGTAAATGAGAAAATGGAGGTAGAGCCATTTGGTTTCTCTCCAGGCTCAACACTATCTGTTAATTATGTACTGAGCACAGTGATGAGTATTTTATAAAGATGACTGCACTTACTACTTATAATGACCATATGAGGTGGGTGTAATTATGATCCCCGTTTTACAGATGAAGCAGCTGAGGCACAGAAAGGCTAAAGTTACACAGCTGGTACATGCGGAAGCCAGAATTGAAAGCCAGCCACCCTGCCTCCCGAGCCTGTGCCCTTAACCATGGCATGGGCGTCCTACCCATTTAATTAACCCACTCACTGTTTCTGTTCCTGTTCTTGTTCCTCTTAGTAGCACGGAACAAAATGAGAATAAAGTTCATGGAACTATTAAATTTTTTAAAATAGCGGTAGCTTTTCAACAGCGCTAGAACAGACCTCTGTATTCTTCTTACTGTCCGTTAAAATCACATGCTTTCTATTTTATTTTCCTTTATTATTTTTTTTTAATGGGAGCATAGTTGACAAACAGCGTTGCATTAGTAACATTCTGAGAGTTCAGTTTGCCATCCTGAATCAGACTGGGTCCCCTGGTCCAGACTTGCAGTCCAAGGAGCTGTAACTGAGAAGTCCATGTAGGTAGTCTTGTGAAGAAGCAGATTTCTCAGGTCTGTTTTCTTTTTCTAGGTTTGTTCATTGTGTGTGTGTGTGTGTGTGTGTGTGGCAGGGGAAGGTGGGAAGGAGAGAGAGGCAGGACAAAAATTTCTAGGTTTGTTCATAGTGTGTGTGGGGGGGGCAGGGGGAAGGTGGGAAGGAGAGAGAGGCAGGACAAAAATTTCCAAGAACAAATTACGTATACATAAGCCCTTGTCTGTGGTAGGAAATCAGGAACTGTAAAATTGTGAAGTTCTTTGAAGTTTGCCCAAAACCTGCTCCTCGACCACCTGTTCCGCAGGGGCCGGGAGTTGGACGGCCCCACTCTGCTGCGATGGCGCAAGCTGTCACTGCACCGGAATGTTCCAGCTCGCCTTGGCCTGGCTGTCATCTCTGGCTCTGTCCCACTCAGGCGGTTCACCGGGTTCTGTTGGGCACCAGGCTTCCAATTAGAGAGAAATCCCACTGTGTGGCCAGCCTCACCAGTGCCACTCTGAGAGGCCCCTTTGCCAAGGCCCAGGCTGACCTCTGATCTGTCACAGATGGGCCAGCCCCACACTCCTTTGTGCACATTTGGAGGAGGGGGGTGGGGCTGAAGAGGGAAGGCTGCGGGGAGTCCGAGTGGACATTGGGCAGAAGTGCAGTTTCTCAGAACCGGGGGAAGCTGGGCAGAGTTGACAGGACCCAAATGCTAGCGCTGTGGAGGGAAAGGGGACTTTGGGAAGAACCCGTCCTGAGCCCTAAACCCAGCATGGGGTCTCCTCTTACTACCTTCTGAATATTCATCTCAGGCTGGACTCCACACCCGAGGAGAGCCAGGAGCCAATAACCGGCCCCCTCCAAAACTGTCACAGTGCTGATAACTGGCCCCCTCCAAAACTGTCACAGTGCTGATAACTGGCCCCCTCCAAAACTGTCACAGTGCTGATAACTGGCCCCCTCCAAAACTGTCACAGTGCTGATGGCGCATGGCACAGCCAGCTTCCTCCCTGCCCGGCCGCAGGCTCTGCACCGTCTCTGCAGCCTGGGAGCCCCGTTTGGCCTGGGCTCAGGGACGGTACTGTCAGCAGCTCTCACCATGGATGGTATTAATCACGCAGAGCCGGAGTGAACAAGAAAGCTAAATTCCTATTAGCATAAGAGATAGAATCTTAGAGAACTCCATCTCTAATTCCCCAGTAGGATGGAGAGCGAGACTCTGAGCTCTGCACAGCTGCTGTCTGGACAGAGGACTGGCTGAATGTGCTTCATTATTTTCGGGGCGGCATGCGAGTGTTCTTTATTTCCCCTACAGCCATTTCTTTTCTAAACCCCTTTTTATCCTTTTAATCACCCTCTTTCTCTCTGTCTTATTTTCTGTGTCTCTGTCTCTCCCTCGCACACTTCCTCTCTTTCCAGGTTCAGCATCTGTAACTCTGTAGTCAGAAGCAGTGATAAAGGCACCAGGCTTGGCGTTGACATTTCTATACTCGGGCTTAGGTGGACTAGAGCCATGGCAAAGCCTAAATAATGAATAGCCTGAAAGAGGCAAGGGTCTTCCCAGCTGTTCTTGGAACGATGCTGCGTCTCTTTTAAAAAATAAAATTGAATTCAATCCATGGAAGCAAAAATGAAGGGTTTCTTCACTATTTTGTCCTCTCTGGGATGTTTCCCCCCCTTTAGTGTTTGCAGTTGAATTGGGAGTTCTGGGATTGTATCTCTCCACTTGGCCTTTTTTCTGGCTCCGACTGGTTAAAACAAACAAAACCCCTCCTCTAGCCAGTGATGCTCATCTGGAAAAGGAAATGCTTCTTTAGGGGGTTAGGTTGTCCCCATGACAAGATGGGCTTTTCCCAGCAAGTCACCACTGTTATGTTGCTCTCTCTCGGCTTCTCCGTTTGCATGACTTTGTTCAACTGATGAGAGAAGTGGCCTCGTGTGTCCTCCTGTGCCTGGATGTCTGTCTCATATGGAGGGTTTGGAGAAGGGAAATCTCTGTAACACCAGAAGAGAAGTGTCATCTTTAGAATCGGCGTGGTTCATTATACCAGACCTGGCAAGTGGAGACAGCCCAGGGACACCGCTGGGGAGCCTGGTCCTATCAGCAGGTGTAAAGTGTCCCTCAGAGTCAGGCTGAGGGCCATGACAGCTGTGATACTTGCAGGGGTTCTGATGAGCTAATATGGACCTTGGTTGTGAGGCAGTCACTCATCGTGATGCCCACCTCACGACGCTATGCTGTGCATTCCTGTGTCTCTGGCCAGACCAGGCTCATTCACCCGCTCCTCCAACACAAAGTTCCCCAAGCACAGTCTGGGACTCTCTCCTCATTTCTTTACATTTCTCCTGGGGAGAGCCACTCCAAGGGCTCCTGACCTGGAGCATGCATCAGGATCACCAGAGAAATCTTAGGAAAAAGTACAGAATCCTGAGCCCCACCCAGGAGGTTCTCATCCAGCAGGTGCTGGGGTAGGGCCTGGGATTCAGAAATTTTGAAGTCTGCCTTTGACTTCGTGCTTCAGCACCACCCAGCCCGAGACTGGGAACCCCTGGAGGCCAGAGGACGTGTCTGAGTGCGCATCGCCCCCCCCGGCCCGCATCCCCACAGCAGGCTCACTGCAGGCGGTAAGTAATACACGGAGATGTGGGCAAGATCCCTCCCTGTGTGTGCTGCTCACTGTTTTGCCGCCTCCTCTCCTTGCAGACATTCCTGTTATTCCGGATCTGGAAGAAGTACAGGAAGAAGACTTTGCTTTGCAGGTGGCCGCCCCTCCCAGGTACATTAAGTATGAAGTTAGCGGGAGGCAGAGAACATGGGAATTAATACATTCCAAATCCCATGTACAGTGGTGCTGCCCCCTGAGCGGAGAGCGGGTATTTCTGGTGATGGGTTCCGTGCCAGGGTTCCCGTGTTACTAGGCATGTTCTTCCCATTTTGGTCCTTCCCAGCTACCTAGGAGGCTCTGAGGATGGTGGCCCCGCAGCTCTCCTGGAACTGGTCCTGCCTGGGGCTCCCCCTCACCTCCTCTCTTTCCTACAGCATCCAGGTAAACCGGGTGATGACCTTCCGTGACCTGGACAATGACCTCATGAAGTACGCAGCCTTCCAGACCTTGGTGAGTGGAACAGCTTCTGCCCAGAGAGGGCAGGCTCTGGGCAGCCTCTCTTCCATGGGTCTCTGAGGCCACCTGGCAACAGTCCCTTTGCTGGAGCCATCATCCTCAGGTATTCCGTTGTCCCTAGACCCAGCCTACCCCAGTGTCTCCGGGGGCCAGGCTCCCACATGCTTCCATGGCTGCCTCCTGGCATGGGTAGACACTGTGGCCCTATAGCTCTGTCGCTGTCATGCCCTGCCCTCTTGGTGCTGACCTTCCTGCAAAGAATGTCCAACCTGTAGGATGTTGTGGTGTTCCCTCCTCTCTCAATGGCTGTGCGGTCCACTCACATTTTTACTCTTTTTAAGGCATTTCTGCAGGTCTGGGTTGGGAAGTCCCACCACACCCACCCTGACCCACTTTGCAAGAGATTGTTGTCCAGAGGCCCCCCAGGGGTGCACAAGCTGGTTGGTTGGTTTGCATTCACAGGATGGAGAGATCGACCTGAAGCTACTCACCAAAGTCCTTGCACCAGAGCATGAGGTCCGAGAGGTAAGTAGCCACGGGAGCTCCTCCTCCGGGCTGCGTCATTCCTGTGGCCAGCTGGCTCCCCAGCATGAGCTCTGCCTTCCTAGGGCCGGTGGGGCGGTGGGCGGCCGGGTGCGGGGGAGGTTGGCTCTGACAGAGGGAAAAGGCCTTCCTTCCTCTGACCCAGTGATACCTCTCCCGGCAGGATGACGTCAGCTGGGACTGGGACCGTCTGTACACTGAGGTGTCCTCCGAGCTCCTCACCGAGTGGGACCTGCTGCAGGAGGAGCCCGTGGGACAGCCCGCACACCCCTGAGCCCTGGGGGGTCAACAGCCTGCTCTCCCCGCACAGAGTAATTTCTGCTTTGGACTTGAAAAAAATGCCATAAGCCTAAACCTAAAGAAGCTTGCAAACAGCTTCGAATTTTTTAATGGAATATTTTGTAATAAAAGTACTTATTTTCAGTAGACCACATTGGAGCATTGGTTGTAATAAATTACTTTATTCTGTGGCCATCTCTTTTTCCATTTCTTTCCAGCAGCCTCTTGGAAAGATTCATCAAGAGTGAAGGAGGGCAGCTTTTAAACAGTCTGGCAGGGACGCCCCCCGCTGTTGAAGAGCGTGAGGGAAAGCTAGACTCAGGGGGAGAGGAACGGCGCTCCTCCTGGACGTTGTTCAGTTCACAGAAGGCCACGGCATTTCCCTGGAGCATCTGTCTACTTGTAAGCACCTGGAGGCAGGGGTCTGGGAGGTTGTAAGCTGCTACCTGCTGGGGCCCGGGGACCCGCTCTCGCTCCGCACGTTTGGTCACATCAGCCAAGTTGCATTGTCTCCTTCATGCTGGCAGGCGGCTTAGCTGAGGAGACAGCAAGAGGTGGGTGTGATAAGGTGACCCGTTCCTCACAGAGGGGTTTGGGGGCTTTTCTGACAGCACCCCCTTTCTCCTTTCTTCTTACAGCCCATGCCTCGGGCTCCCAAGACGTGCCCTTCCCTTCCACGCCAGGTTCCCAAAGCCCCGCTGCTGGTTCTCATTAGCAGGGGCCAGCTTGGCAGCCCCGAGCATTCCACAGAAGCACTCTCTCAGGGAGCCTGGGACTCCCTCTGACCTTTCAGAGACATAGCTGTTTGTCTCCATTGCTCCCCCAAGCATCATGGCTGCCTGTTTCCAAACTGTGCCATTATCTGGAGCAGAGCCCAACCTTCTTTCTAAACAGAGACATCTTTTGTTTTTGTTTTTCTCGCTTTCTCCCCCAAGACCTCTCATCTGAGGACAGGGACGTCTCCCTGCCCGCCTCTCCTAGATGCCACTTTGGATCCGGCCCATGCAGGCTAGCAGCCGCTGACTAAGCCCCACTCCGCGGCCATGGGGAGAGCTGAGTGCTGTTCTTATCCTGCCTGGAAAGCCCTTCATTAAAATTCAGTAAAACAAAGAGGCTCAACACTTCAAAAACCCACTGGGGGGTTATTTTTATATGACTACTAGTGCCCTTCCCCAGTGAGCCAGGAGGGCTCTAGAGCCAGCAAAGAGACTGCACGGCTGTTAATTATAAACTCAGGGATTTGGTGGCTCTGGGGCCCCTTTTCCTTCTTTTCTAGAGTCACACTCTTAGCCCTGACAGCCCCCCTTTGGAAGAATTCCCATGGTCACTGAGAAGTTTCCGCCCACTCTGGTTTTTCTTGAGCACCATTCTGAAACCCAAAGGAGAAAGGTATTTCTAACTTAACTACTTAGTAGTTAACTACTTAATTACTAGTCAGTTCAGCTGCCTCAGGACTCTGATACACTTGGGAGGTCTGCGGCCAGCCTGAGCAGGTGGCTAGGGGTTGACTTCCTTCCTCCCTTTATTTTATGACAGCGACAGCAACAAGGTCTCCCATGTACTGAGCCCTCACCACATGCCAGGCACTGGGCTCAGCACATAAGCATGATCCTCATAGCCACCCAGCGAAACACAGATGTTATTATCCCATTTTATAGATAAGGAAACTGAGGCTCAGAGATGTAAAGAGACTGCCCAGGATTATCCAGCTACTTAGTGGCGGGGCTGGAACTCAAAACCAAGGTATCTGACGCCACCGTACTTGTAACATTTGTGTTAAATCTGCTGCTGCCTCCAGCTGGGGCAAGTAGTCTAGTGTATAGCAGGCAGAATTAGCAGCGTGCGGGGAGAAGCTGCCTGCCACCGCCCTCCTCCTCCTAGACCAGGCATCCCTTCTTTGCATGGAGTGACCACAGAGCAGAGGGTGTGAAGCCTCTCAAGGTGGCTGAGCTCCAAAGTCCTGGCCCCAGGGAGGTAAGGATAAAGCCCGCAGACCTAGGTGAGGAGCAGCTCAAAGTCCTCTATGAGCTAAGCCTGGTGAAGAGTCAGGTTCAGGCTGTGGATGGCCAAGTGTCCGCTCACCTGTCTGGGCTTCATCCTTTCCACAGCCTTCGAGTGCCACATCTCGAGAGCTCCTGGGCATTGACGGGATGTCCCAGAACCTATGTCCACCTAGTTCTTGACTAGGTGAGCTGACCCCTGAGCTACCTTCCTTATGTTCCATCCGGTGGTGTCACCCAACCCAGACTTCAGAGGGCCGCCCCAGAAGAGGTCTCAGGAGGTATGACAGAACGGACAAGCAGCTACAGGTACCCACGCTGTGGTTTTTGGTAGGCGTGTCAGGGAGGCACGGGACAGGTCTCAGTGCTGCCACCTCCTTCGTGTGTCGTGTTGACCGGCTCCTCACCCGTTTCTCCTAGGCTGGCTCATGTCACCTCTGAGCGGGCCTTAGATGTCCCAGCTGGTCTCTGACACAATCTCCCGTGGCGTCTTTGGCATCGGGTGGTAGCTGTAGAGATGCCGCTCAGAGGCTGGGCCGTGGTGGGGAAGTGTGCTCCTTCGTGAGATACGGATTACTGCTCAGTACGAGCCAGGCTCTGTTCTAGGCACTGCAGAGAGAGCTCTAGACAAGCCGAATTCCCTTCCCCCGTAGCACTTACATCGAGCAGGGTGGCGGGAAGGGAGAGACGGACAAAGAAGTCAAACACATAGCGTGTTAGATGGTAATGGATGCCCTGGAGAAAAACAGCTGGAGCAGGGAAGGGCGTGCTGGGATCAGGGGTTGCAATTTTTAAACGGGGTAGTTAGGGGAGGCCTCACTGAGAAGGTGACATTTGAGCAAAGACTTGGAGAAGGTGGGGTGGGGAGGGGAGGAGGCAAGACTGGTAACTAGGGAACAGTGTTCCAGGGAGAGAGGACAGTACTTGCAAAGCCCGCAGGAGGACAGGCACCTGGCCTGTCCGAGGAGATCAGCGTGCCTGGGGTGGAAGGGGCATGGGGAGAGAAGATGCTCTGTCTTGCTGCACCCACGTGGGGCCCACGTCCTCCAGTGACACGAGCACTCCCAGGCCTCCTCGGCCTTGCCGGACAGTCTTTGGAAAACTCAAGCTGCTGCCCAGCCTCTTCCGGCCTTGGCCTGGAAGAAGCGGAACAGCGGATGGTACACGGAGGGAGAGGAGAACAATGAGCTCTGTCTGCCACGAACTGGGGGTCAGGAGGCTGCTGCCAGCTCCCCGCCAGGCCAGGGTGTGCCACTGCGTGCGGCAGGCGGGGCAGCATTGTCAGGTCCCTGTGTGGAACGCTCCCTGGAATCTCGCAGCTCTGATGGAAGGCTCAAGCAAGAAATTTATCTGGGCGGGCCTTGTAGCTGAACCTGAGGTCATCTCTATCCCTGGTTGTTGGCTCATCTTTGCTGAACCCTGGGACACCCCAGACAGGCTTTAGGAACTATGTGCTCCAGACGGAAACTGATGTTGGCACCTGCTCAGTGTTGCTTGACCAAAATGTGCAGCTTACGTAAACCAGGGCCTTTCTTGCTTAGTGGTTGGGGGCGGGGGAGGGGGTGCTCCTAGGAGCTCTGGTGCTGGAGACCTGAATGAAAGGTAGTGTTTGCTCTAGTGAGATACGGAAGCTTAGCATCCTTGCTCAGCTTTGCTCAAGCAGTGCTATGCTTTTGTTGCAGGGGCCAAAGAGTCACCGGGGAATGGATAGCTGGGTGGGAGGGGGCTGGCACGGGAGCAAGGAGCAAAGAACACAGCTTCCAGAACCAGGCAGGCCTGGGTTCCAGTCCCAGCTCTCCCACTTGGTAGCCGTGGGTCCTTGAGTGAGCTGCTTTCCCTTTCTGATCCTTTCTCTCATCTGTAAAATGGTGATGATATTAGTATTGTCCTCTTAGGACAGAAAAAGCTGACTACTGCTAGATTTTAGAACCGGATGGGCTCCAAAAGTGAACATAGGGAAAGTCCCACCAGATATGTTACTGCAACAACAGCTGCACTCTGCTAGGGGCTATCACCCTCATTTCCTCTCATGCGTTATTTCTTAGCTATGGATAGAAGAATGGATTGGCACCAGGGTTTTTTGTTTTTATAGCAACTTTATTAAGGTACAATATGCATGCCTTAGTAAATGTACCAAGTTGTACAACCGTCACCATAATCCCGTTTCAGAACATTGTCATCACCTGACAACGTTCCCTTTTGTCTGTTTATAGCTAATCTCCGCTCCCACGCCCAGCCCTCCGCAACCACCGATCCATCTTCTGACCCTATCAATTTGTTGTTTCTGGAAACTGCATAGAAATGGACTCATATAATATGTGGTCTTTTGAGTGTGGCTGCTTTCACAGTCCATCCATGCCATAGCATGGGTCAGTACTTTGTTCTTTTGATTGTTGATCAGATACCCCACTGGACAGACCCGCACCACGCTGTTGCACCATGCATCCGTTGACGGACACTTGAGTTGTTTCCATTGTGGGGCTCTTATGAATAACACCCCTGTGGACAGTCCTGTACATGTGTTTGTGTGGACATACATTTTTGTTTCTCTTGGGTAGATTCCTAGGAGTGAAATCACGGGGTCATATGGTGTGTTTACACTTAACTTTTTTTTTTTTTCAGTTTCTTTAAAGAAAAACACTTTATGTAAAACTTCAAAAAAGGTTAAAGAGCAGACAGAATAGTTGGGAAAATTATTTTTGTTTACCTTTGAAGAAACTGCCAAACTTTTTCAGGGCATCAGTTTTGTTTGTCGGTGCTTTAGGGTATCAGGATTAATTAGGTAGTTGTTTGTTTGTTTGTTTGTTTCCTTTCCTTAAGATTTTCAAAGGTGGCAGTGAAGTTTATAGTTGGCCCAATCTCCTGATTCCTCCCTCCCTTCCTCCTTCCTGTCATTGAGCTTACCTCTGTTTTGAGAATGCAAAGCTCTTCTGTCTGTCCCCCACTCTTCCGCCCCAGCCTGGAAGCTTCTTCAGGGTAAGAAGGGGTGTTGTTTGAGTTTCTCTAAAGCCCTGCCAGGAATTCAGTGTCAAATAAGACATGGTCCTGACCCCAAGGGGCTCACAAACTAGTAGAGAGACAGGTCTCATCTATGTTTTCAGAGCACTGGTTTTGAAAACCTCACAGGCTTTCCAGATGGGTAGAAGCACCCCAAACCATCCACTGCGAAATGGAAATGAAAGTGGGGAGAGAGGG